ACTGGGGTTTGCTTCTGGTGGTTGGGTGTCCCAAGCAGCTCCAGTTTTTGTTCTGCTGCCAATAAATGAACACTGAGCAGCACAGACAGGAAAGTTCTGCCTTTACTGCCAGTGCAGGGTGACTCCACTGCTCTCCAAGATCCACCCAGTGGGACACAGATTGCAGAGCCACTGTGACCATCCCAGACACTCCCCCCTCTCCACCCCCAAATCGGCCTTACCTTCCACATTTGTCCTTTCACCTCACTACACTGAGTGTGCAGACTTGTGACCAGTGCTTGGAAAAACCAGAATAATGAGAAAAATCTGTCAAAAGACACTGCAAAAACACCTGGGTTGTGTTTTCCTTCCAAGCTGTGTTTATTTGTGTACCTGCAACTGTGTGGATAAATCAAAAGTGAGGAGCCAAGGACTCACAGGAGGGTGAAAAACTGAGGAAATGAGGAGGAAGAGTCAAGGTCAGCTTTCCTAGCAGGCTAAAAATGGATTTAAATGCCTGTCAGTCCTCACCACAGCCACATCCCTACCAATGGTTCTCCAAGCACAGGAAAGCATCAAGACTGTGGGATGGAGGAACAGAAACACGATGGCCTTGGAGAAACTTCCTTCCACTTCCAGAAGAATGAAAAAATGGTGAGGAACCCACCAGCTACTGCAAGAGCACCAAACAGAGAATGACCACAGCCCTAAAATATAATTGAGCACTAAAACATAATTAAGTTCTGTTCACAGTTCCACTGCAGTTTCTCACTATGACACACTCAGCATCTCTGGCTCCTCACTCAGGCTCTGAAGCCAAAGCCCCAAATTCCAGGAATTGCCACTAAAACACCAAGGAATGTCTCACTGGAAGGGCACCCAGAGCACCCCAGCACTTCCTCACAAACTCAGGAGAATCCTTTTCAGAGCATGGATGAGGTCTGAAAGCAGAACAGCTCCAGTCACAGTTCCAAGCAGTTCCTTTGCTTCTGTTCCTACTGGAACCAGCTCAGCCATGGCTTTCTTCCCTTCTGATCCCCATTCCCACCCTCACAATGGAAAAAAAAAAAGATTCCTCTTTAATTACTCGACCTGTACAGTACTATAACTGTAGCTTGATGCACAAAATGACCAAATTTGAAAAAAATTAATGAGTAAAACAGTTTCATGTGAACTGTCCTGTACAAGAGACAACAATTCCCAGTAAGAACAGCATTCAGCACTCCTTTTATTTAGACTTCAGCACTCACACAGAAAGCTGCCAGGAAAAAGGGAAGGGTTCCAGCTCCAGTGTGCATGGATTTGACAGATATCATCTTTTTTAAAAAAAAAAATCAGACTAGAAAAATACTTTTAGTTCTAAGTTATGCAGTCAAAGCTGCTTTTGAGGCATTCAGATAGAATCAACAGTAACAGGTGATAAAAAAATCCTTATGGAATACACTGCCAGCATTGGAAATGGGATGCAGGGAACATCAGGACACAAATACTGAATAAACCTGAGGGTGCTTCTCAAGTATACTGACTCTAATTTGATTTATCCACAAACTCCTTTTACTATAGAGGTACCAGAGCAGAGGAGGTGTTTATGAAGCTGGGGTAAGGTGAGGGCTAAGAGCTGAATGCTCCATCATTTCACCAGAGCAGGGTTTGAGGAAAATCATGGTACAAACCCTTCTGCCTCCCCAGCAGAGGGGACTGACCCTGGATTTGAACAGCAAAGTCCCTGAATTCTACACAAACCCTGGGGAATTGCTTCCAGGAAAAGAATCCTGCCCCCCTGCTCAGCCAGAGTGCTGTGCCCAGTCCTGGGCTCCTCAGGGACACAGAGATGCTGGAGCAGGAACAGCAGAGGCAAATCCTCCCATGAGGATGAAGGGAGCGGAGCCTCTCACAGGAGGAAAGGCTGAAGGAGCTGGGAATGTTCAGCCCCAAGAAGAGACAACAGAGGAGACCTCATCAATGTGTATAAATATCCAAAGGGGTGCCAAGAGGATGGAGCAGGCCCTGCTCTGTGGACAAGAGGATTGAGCAGGAACTGATGCCCACAAGGTCCACCTGAACATGAGGAAGAACTTCCCTGAACAGAGAGCAGAGAAGGTGTGGAGTCTCCCTCACTGGAGATACTCCAGAGCCATCTGGACACAATTCCATGCCCTGTGCTCCAGGAGGGCCCCTCTTGAGCAGGGAGGTGGGACCAGATGAGCCCCTGTGGTCACTTCCAGCCTTGCCTGTTCTGGGATTCTCAGAGTTTTCCTCGTGTTATACAGAACTGCCAACAGCAAAAGGAAAAATAAATCTTGTTTACACCATTTCCAACAGCCACTTTCCTTGGATACAAACCATCATCCAGCCAAAAGCAAGCCTGATGGTGTGCTGTGAGGATTCTTCCAACACCTTCCATTCACCTTGCACAGGGAGCAGAAGGGAGATGAAGCCCTGAAGCAGCAATTGAACTGCACAGTGAAGGGAAGCAGTGAAGCAGCTGGGGGAGGGAGGTGGTGCCTGGCTGTTTCCAGGCTGTGGGGGCTCAGAGGAGATGTGCAGACCCTGCTGAGCTCAGCCCCAGGGAATGCTGCACATGCAGGGAGCTGCAGGGCCTGAAGCCAGCCAGGAGCACCTCACCAGGAGCATCTCCTGGGTGTGAGTCCAGCAGGGAGGAGTGAGGCTGCCTCTCCCAGATGAGGTATCTGCTAACCAGGAATGACTGTGGCACCTGAGGAACCTGCAGGGGGCTCAGGGGTGAGGAAGAGGCACCTCTGTGTCTGGGTTTCTCCCCCAGCTGGCTGGGCTGCTGCTCTCCGTGGAGATGAGCCACGAGGCTGGGAGAAAGGACTTGGAATATGGAATCACAAGAGGATCTCTTTGAAAAGGCACTAGGAAGAAGCATATAGTTGTAGGTTAACAAGGTTTATCCTGTTTCCAATCACTGAGTGGGACAAAAACTGTACAGTTTGGGGCTTTTAGGGGAAAAAAATGCTGCAGAGTTTTGTTTTTTTTTAACAGCAAAAGCATGAAAAGAAAAGTAAAGCTATTTTCAAATTATTAAAATGCTGAACATGTATACAGCAAAATTATACTAAAAACAGCAGCAGACAAAATCCATCCCATCACCATTGGCAAGGGACATGTAAAATGTTTATAAGGTTAACTATAAAACAATTTTACAACCAAAATATGAACAGGCCAATTCAAGTATATATATATACAGAATATATTAAAATCATATAAATTATATATTTATACAAAGGGCACAAATATAGCAAAAAGCTATAGTTGATTAAACAGAACTGAGCTTGAATGATCAATTTCATCTAGAGATGTTATAGATTTCTCCCCATTTTTTTGTTAAAACCTGGATAGATTGATACCTCAGATACCAAGAGTACAGAAAGCATAAAGGGAAAAAAAAAAACCAACCACAAATCAAAGAGTTACCATTCTGCATGAAATGAGCCTAACAGTGGGCAGGGAACACCTCATATGAAATTCTGATTTAATTATTTCCATAGTAAACATTTATCAGCTCTCTTAAAAAGTCACGAATTTCAAGTGATCCACTTCAGATGTACCACCCCAGTGCATATATTTGATTACATTTGAATGTTGTTTGATTTGCAAACATTTGGGGGAAAAAAGAGATACAAACACAACTCAATCTGCAAAAGAAAAGGTGACAGATGGCAGCAAGTTGAAAAGTGAACAAAAATGCTCAGCTGAACTGGAAATGATGCTCTCCCTTCTAGTGAAAATGCTTTAAAGTGAGATTAAAAAATAACTTATTTTAAATTGCTTTTTTTTTTTAAATTTCAAAACATAACAGCAAATAACCACAACGCACTGCAGCTCTTGAGAATCTAAACAGTCCCAGCCATGGGCTCAGATTTAAAGACAGACTAAGTGCTCTCCTGAATTCAGGTTTTTGGAAATAAATTCTGTCCCAGCTGCACCTAAACCTCCTGCTGTGGCACCACCCTTCATCACTGCAGCAATGCCTGGACACAGCTCTGGCTTCATCAGCCTGCCCAGAGCAGCTGTGGCTGCCCCTGGATCCCTGGCAGTGCCCAAGGCCAGGCTGGACAGGGCTTGGAGCAGCCTGGGACAGTGCAAGGTGTCCCTGCCATGGCAGAGAGTGGAACTGATGGGCTCTAAGGTCCCTCCCAACCCAAACCATTTTGGGAATCTGTGGCCTCCACTCACCCAAAGGTCCTGGGCAAGGAGCACTGAGGGCAAGCAAAGCAGAAATAAAAAGGCCAGACCACACATACACAGAACATCAGCTTAAACCCCAGAGCTGAGTATGGAAAAGAGCAAAGTGGTTTCACCAGATGCAGGTTAAATGGAAAAAAAAACAAACCAAACAACAAAACCAGAAAATAATCAGCCATCTCCCATACCTAATAGCCAGTGGATATCTACTACACTGAAAGGAAATCAATGCAAACATGATTTCCTCAGTTTCAAGTAATCTTTGATGCCCTTTTGGCCAGCTGTGTTATATCATAATAGATATTTTAATAGCTTTTATCCTCTACACTTTAGGCAGCTAATTTTTCTCTTACATATCCAATTATCTCTAGTGAACATTCACCTATGGTTGTCCACACATTCTGTATTTGCTCCTTGAGAAACTATTCAAGTTAAATTATATTGCAAATTAAAGACAGTTACATTCTGTATGTTCCTTCTAGATTTGAAAAATAGGTTTTAAAGGCTTGTCAAAGTTTAGAAGAAAAAACCTTTCCATTAAAAAATCTTAGCTTAAAAAAATCATTTAAGACACCTTTTTCTGATCCAGGGTACTAATAAAAAGATTACAAATATACTACAATTTGACCAAGAAGACTCCATGAATATGCTGCTTTCGAGCATGCAACACCACTGATATCTGTCGAGTTCCAGGTATCAATGTATCCCAACCCCACCACGGTCCCCCCATCCCCACCCTACCGCCCCCTATATTAACAACATTATAAAAAAAGGTAAAATCTAGAATTAGTGGCAAAAAAATCTTCACAGTAAACCGTTCAAAAACACTTTTTATTGTGGTCATTTCCGTGCGGTTCCTCAGTCGATGGGGCCCTGAAAGATGAGCTTGACGCAGTTGTCTCCGGTGAGCTGCGTGGCGCAGAAGGGGCAGGCGGCGTGGAAGGCGTGAGTGCCGTGAGGCAGCGGGATCTGGGCCCAGTATTTGGCAGTTTTCTCGGAGCACACGTGTCCGCAGGGGGTGAAGGCGTGCGTGGGGGGCCCGGCGTCCACGTAGAAGCCGGCCTCGCAGCCCAGCCACAGGGGCACGTAGCGGCCCACGGTTCTGCACATGGGGCACTCGCGCTCGTTCACCTCCGCGTCGCTGCGGTGGCCCCAGTTGTGGTAGCCGTGCACGTGGCCGCAGCTGAGGTAGGCCCAAGGCTGCTTCTCCTCCACGTCCTTCTTCTTCACCACGTCCTTGCGGGTCATGCTGGGGAAGGCCAACGTGTTGAAGCCCACGGGGCACTGGGGCCGGGCGGCGTTGATCTCCTGCCGCAGAGCCTCGATGTGTTTCTGCGTCGGCGAGTGCAGGAGCCCGTCCGCCGTCCGCCACAGCAGCGTGGCCCCGCACAGGTCGATCAGGGAGCCGTCCTGCAGCACGTTGGTCTCGTTTTCTACCTGGTGGCAGGACACAAAGAGCTTTTACACACACTGGCAGCATGATGTTTTTTGAAAAAATCCCTTCGTCACCATGATATTTCTTGAAAAAAAATCCCTTCGCCGCCGGGATTTCTTCTCCTGGAAAGCTGAGAAAGCCTCCAAAAGAAAAGTAAACAATGATCTGATTGTTTCTCCTTGTGTTTTGCTGCTTTGGAATGTGTTAGGTGACTGTTTGATTGTGAATTCTTTAAATTTATTGACCAATCACAGTCCAGCTGTGTCAAGGCTATGAGGAGTCACGGGTTTTTATTATTCATTTTTGTTAAGCCTTCTGTCTGTATCCTTTATCTATTTCTTTAGTATAGTTTTAGGATAGCATTCTTTTAGTACAATATAATATCATCAAATAATCAATCAGCCTTCTGATGTATCCTTTCTCTATGGTTTAGTATAGTTTTAGTATAGCATTCCTATAATATAATATAATAATAAATCAGCCTTCTGATGTATCCTTTCTCTATAGTTTTAGCATAGCATTCTTTTAATACAATACAATATCATCAAATAATAAATGAGCCTTCTAATGTATCTTTTCTCTACTTCTTTCATATAGTTTTAGGATAGCATTCCTATAATATAATAATCAATCAGCCTTCTGATGTATCCTTTCTCTATGGTTTAGTATAGTTTTAGTATAGCATTCCTATAATATAATATAATAATCAATCAGCCTTCTGATGTATCCTTTCTCTATGGTTTAGTATAGTTTTAGTATAGCATTCCTATAATATAATATAATAATCAATCAGCCTTCTGATGTATCCTTTCTCTATAGTTTTAGCATAGCATTCTTTTAATACAATATAATATCATAAAATAACCAGCCTTCTGATGTATCCTTTCTCTATGGTTTAGTATAGTTTTAGTATAGCATTCCTATAATATAATAATCAATCAGCCTTCTGATGTATCCTTTCTGTATAGTTTTAGTATAGCATTCTTTTAATACAATATCATCAAATAATAAATGAGCCTTCTAATGTATCTTTTCTCTACTTCTTTCATATAGTTTTAGTATAGCATTCTTTTAATACAATATAATATCATCAAATAATCAATCAGCCTTCCTATGTATCCTTTCTCTATTTCTTTAGCATAGTTTTAGTATAGCATGCTTTTAATATAATACAAATATATCATCAAATAATAAATCAGCCTTCTGATGTATCCTTTCCCTACTTCTTTAGTATAGTTCTAGTATAACATTCTTTTAATATAATATGATAAAATAATAAATCAGTCTTCTGAGAACATGCAGTCAGATTCCCATCTCTTCCCTCCTCCTGGGGGCCTCACAAACACCACACAGACACCACATCACCTTTCTCAGTATTTAACCTGCTTAATTTTGTCTTATTGTTGTCCTGAATCCACCTCACCTCCTAACCTATATCTAGGATTATAACGAGCACTGCTCTCTTATTCTGTGCTTATACAGGGGATTTGCATTTGCAGCTGCAATATAAATTATTATACAGTCTTTGGGCCCCTGAGCACGCATTTTTTTCCTCCAATATTGATTCTCTGTTCCTTTGTCATATTTCAGTAAGTCCTGATAGACTGAAGAAAAGACATGCCATTCCCTGAGGGCTGCATTAGCAGATTCTCTCCTGGAATTCTTTGCCCACATTACACTGACAGAAGCTGTTCACACAGTAAAATAAAAAAGTCCTTTTTGGAGTAAAAACTGCTACCCAGGTCAGGCCAGCTGTCCTGCCTCTCACAAACCATTTTTTCAAGGGTTGTGGCAAGGGTCAAGCATTCTGCAGAAGCATGAACTCCCAGTGTGCCTCAGCAGCAGCACAGGTACCTGCATGGCTTAGCACTGCAGCAGACAGAATCACCAGCTGAATTTCTCAGGTGACAAATTGGAAGTCACACAGGCTCAGCTTATGAACAATTAACCACCCCACTCATTAGCCCTCTTATTTAATGAGGTATTCCAAGCAAACACAGCCCCATCGTGCACTGCCTAAAGGCTTCTCTCTCATTAAAAGCAGGTACTTACAACATTTTCAGGGGATTATTATAAACACACATTGTACTTGACTGAAATATTCTTTATTTTAATGTCACAAACATATAAGCAATCCATGCCTTTGCTATCAGTTCATTAGTGATGAATATATATTAAAAAGGCTCTTTATAAAATTAAAGAGAAAAACACACCTACTGCCTGGCTTTATGCACAGAAAGTATGCAGAAAATACCACTAATGCAGAACAAACAGCCAAATACAAACAAATACATTAAGTAGGTCACATGAAATCATCACATCTGCCTAAGAATACTATGAATGACAACCATTGTAGCATTTACATTTTAATCCAGTTTAAATTCACAGATTAACTGTGGATCATCCTTGCACAAAACACCTCAGTGGTACAATACAGACTACAGATAAGAGGTCACCACTGCCAAGTAATTCCAGCAGAAAAATGTAGTGGTTCAAGTAGAGATGAGAGAAGCCTTGATCTGATGCTCTTTTCAGATAATTCCTTCACAAACAGCAAAACAAAAAGCTCCCCTCATATGCAACGTGTTCAATTCATTATACAGCCTGCATTTGGTTTTATGAACCCAATCAAGGAATACTGATCACATCAATACCAGTGTGCCATGCAATTTTATTTAAATGAGCATTCAACTCGTTTTGGATGCAGGGAGGGGGATTCATTTGTTTTGCTGTGCCTCTCTTTAGCAGCACTAAAAAGGTGTTTTGCTAACCACAAAGGCTGCAATTGCCACATCATCTGTCCAGGTCCCCAGGCAACATCTGCCTGCCACCATCAGTGTGACAGAGCAATTTATGTCCTGAAGGGTGTCTGCTGGAAGCAGAGCAGCCCAGCTCCATTCCCCTAACTCCTTCTGCAGTCAGTTTTCTGCAAAGCCAATGGCAGAGTTGCAAAGTCAGTTAATTGAACTTCTCTCCTGGTTTTATGTGTCACAAGTCCCTGGCAGCTGAGATCTCTCACTTCTGGCAAAGGCAAAGCTCATCCTGCCTCACAGGAGAAAACAGGAATATACTTCCAGGGCTCCTCTTATCTTCCCAGTGGCAGGTAAATCTAACAGAAGCTGCCTTACCCAAACTGCCTTTGCACAAAAGTGGACTCTTCTGGCAGTACTGCAAAGACAGCTCCCCATGCAGCAACTTCAGACATCCCCAGGTCCCTGGAGAACATTCCAGAGATGGAGATTCCAGAGCAGAGTTTATTTTGCTTTAACACTGTGCTATTTCAGGTGGAAAAGTGGCATTAGCAGAAAGCTCTGAGTGTTCTCCCACACACTCAGGAACAGAACAGCAGTGCAAAATCTGCTGTAACACAGATTTACACACTCACAGTGCCACTGCTCAGGGCCAGCCACCCTGTACCTGCCTCCATTCAAAGCCAGGAAAACAAACACCCTGTGTCACTGTTGAGTCAGAAGTGACACTGATAAAGAGTGACACACTCCATGCATTTTCAGAAGGCCAATAACAATTTTATTAGGAACTCATTCCTTTTTATACTCTAGGTCTCTACAGGTGGACCTGATTGGTCCTTTAATTAAAACACCATCACCATTGGCTAATTATGAAGACACCCATTTGTAAACAACCCAATGGGAAAACAGCTTGTTACAAAACACCACCTGTGGATTGTTTGCATTTGATTATCATTCTTTCTCTCCAGCTCCCTGAAACTTCCCAGACTGTTTCATGGGAAAGCTGATCCAGCTTTCTGTCTCTCTGACGAGACTGTCACATCCACAGTAACCCTTCATTAATTTCAGTCACTTCCTGTTGGAGTTCTGGATGTTGAAAATTTTAGACTTTCTGTACAAACAGACTCTGACTTCCTGGAGAACACTTCATTTGACCTGAAGTCATGGAACAGGCTTCCAAAATTGACTGGTAGCACTGAGATTATGGGTGTGTCGTTGGTTAGAAGTGTGTAATATCACTGGGAGGAAAATTTAAGAGTTTGGGATTTTAGAATATACTAATAAATAGGAAGAAAGATAGAAGTATTAGGGCAGGTTGTAGAAGCAGGTTGTTCTTCTTTACCTTCTTTCTTCTCCATGGGTTTGGGTGATATTTTATAGTTGAAGAGGAAAGTCCACAGTGGGGACTTTGAGAGATTAGTTATTGAGTTAAAAGTGAAAATAATTTAGGTGTCATTTCTTAATTAGATAGTTTAGCCTTAAAAGACCTTGTAACAAGAGCTAGTTAACCATTTTTGTGCCTTGTTAATGAAAAACTACAGAACTCACTGCTGTAAGACTGTGACACTGATAAAAAATAATAAACACCTGAGTCCGAACGCAAACTATCATCTCAAGTACCTTCAATCCCAACCTCAACAAAAATTAAAAATAAAAAACAAACCAAAACCAACCACTTCCACTCACCAGTTTGCCCCTGTGCTGAGCAGACCTGGTCTCCCGGAGCGTGTAGACGTCCCCACAGACAGAGATCTCCCTCCACACCCCGGGCTTGGACTCCTCCGTGAAGCCTCCCTTGGGGTGCATCACCAGCACCCCGTTGGTTGTCAGTCCGTCCATGTGGCCATCAGGGTTCTTCCACTTGGCTGCTTTCTCCTGTGTGTGACAGTGACTATCAGAAATGCATCAAAGCAACCTAAAGAAAATCCTCTAACAGCTCCTAAAGTGCAGCCTCCTTGTTAAAGACAATTATGGCCACGAGTCTCTGCTGGTGATAACTCAGGCACATAAAAATGCAGTTTCTATTTAACACTGCAGCTGGTGCATTGGAGTAATAAAAGTCTAATGACAGTACAAGTTATCAACAAGTACAAGGAGATTTGGGGGCTTGAAAGTAACAGAATATAAACCAGAGCTTGCTTGTAACATCATTATTAGCAGTACTTACACCAAGAAATATATTTTTGGATGAGTCAAAGCCAGCTGCAAAGATCCTTGCTGTGTAGGGTGGGTTCCTGTCACAAACAATCCTGCAGGCAAATCGGGAGATGGTGCTCTGGGTAATCTGGGTTTCATCACTATTTTGATTTCCTGAAATAGTGTCTGTTACTACAAAGTCTATGGGGCTTTCTGTCGACCTCCCAACCTGCAAAAAAAATTAAGATAATGGTATAAATAGAAATACCCACAGAAGTATGAAGCATTGAGGACATAGTTTTGCCAGGTTAATACTTTACTGATGACATCAGCAAACTTCTGTCTACTGAACTTTTGGATGTTAAGATCCAAGCAGAGTCTAACCTGTATTTCCACATTTGTCCCACGCAGAAATACAACACAGACGTGGAATGACAAATTTTCACTTACCACAAGTGACGTTCATGCTTGCTTGAAACAGATCAACACAGCTGATCTGTTTGATAAGAGTATTGTCACCAAAAAAATGTATTATCACCTTACTATTTCCTCATCCAAACCACAGCAAATTACTTACCTCTACATTCTGTCAGTTGAGAAAGCAGTAGCTTAGATTGACAACTTTTATTCACATTTTCCAGTTCCAAATACATTTGCCATGAAAATAAAGGACTTTTTTTAGACCCAGAACTTGGTTATTTTGATATGTCATAACAAAGAGTTACCCACCTTTATGTTTTCAGGATTTATAGTCCCAGAAAGAAGTGTTGTCAGACAAAACCCACCCTATGTTGAAATTGGTTCCTAATCATGCACATGCACAACTAACAGAATTTTAAAACTTTCTTGAGTTGAGCAGAAATGAAATACACCCAATAGTGTGTAGGAAGGAACACTGAGTAGACTCAGGAGTAGACAAAAAGATTTTTCTGTCTTGTTAGCTAAAAATTTTAATTCCAAATCTGGAAACATCTGGGACAGAAAACTTCCTGACTACATGGATGGAAGGATCTGACTGCCAGACAGACAGTGAGGCTTTATCAATATTTCCACAGGCAAATTAGTGTTACACCAACTTTGAGCTTAACTGGGAGAGTGGAGCTGAGGAACAAGAAGTGGAACACAATATTAATTTTACAGACACCTTGTGATCAAACAGAATTAGGAATACTCTTCAATGAAATTACCTTCAGTTTTCAGGTATCTATACTGATATTAAATAACCTCCTCACTAAACATGATCTCATTGTCTCCCCAAAAGTTCCATTCTGCTCAGATCTTGATGGGGAGCCATGTATGGGTTCTATCATTAACAAACATCTCTGCAAACTACACCTGCTTTAAAGAAACATTGTTCAAGAGTCAAGGAAATGAATATTATCCACACCTAAGCCTTGTCACAACTGGATTGATAGGAAGAGTGCAGGGATCTCAGCTGTGCTTCTCCTTCAAGCTCTGTTTGCAGGTTGCAGTCTAACACATGGCACAATTCCTGTCTCCAGTGACACATCCAGTTACTGGCTCCACATCCCAGGGCTCAGCACAGGCAGAAAATGGGATCAGCTCCCAGCACAGGAAATACTCAACAAGGCCTAATCAAAAGTCTACATTTCAATTTCTCACAGAAAGTGCCTACTAGAGTACCCAGGAGAGAGAGTTTAGAAACTATTTAATATGGGATATTCCTGATTTATAGAACTTGACAACTTGAAGCTAAATCTTACAAAGCAATATTCTTCTTCTTTTTACAGTATTATTTCTACCAGGCTTCTATTTCCCATCCAAAGCAATTCCTGCTAAGAGTCAGCACTGAGCAGCAGCAGGAACCTCATGAATAACTTTTGACTGTTCTCCATCTGTACATGGAGTCTCTTAAAGGATAATCAATAACAAATATGAAATTAATTTGTTCATAACAAGTTTCTGCTTCTTGCAGTCTCTGAAATAGATCATTCTCTCAAAGCCTTTAGATGCAATTAGAGAAAAATCTGCCTCATTTTTCCTTAAAGGATGACAAAGCACACAAGTGTGTGCTCCCAGCCTTGCATCACACTAATCATTCACCACAAAATTCCAATTTCTTAAGATAGAAGCATTAAGAGCTATAAACAGTGCATCTATGTGCTTTTTTAAATCTCTAGAATGATATGTAGTATTTTATATAAACACTTCACATTTGTGTCACAAATATGTATATCCAAAATCAAATCTTTTCAATATTTGGTGTTCTTCCCTTTTCCAGCTGAGAAAGCCTTCTGGAGGATCAGTCTCATGTATTGTGCTACTTTTCAGAATTTGAATTTATTTGAAAAAGTGGCCCTCAAAATCTGGCCATTTTCTCAAGCTCTGTATTAAGGCATGAATTTGGGTTTGAGATCATCTGAAAAGCAAGTACCTAAGGAACAAATGCAAAACTTGATGCTATCAAGATCCACCCTGCAGAACTTTCACCTCATCTGCAGCTGCAGCCAGAGCACAGTCACTACAGACCCAGTCCATTATTCAGAGCTGCTCTTTACACTCTTCATTACTCATTTTTCTCCCATTTTCCACCACAGCACAGAGGACTTTCTTCTTTTAGCAACTTCAGGCTGTACTTTGGGACCCTTCTTGTTAAAACTGTGTCATCTGATTTGCCCAAGTTACTTCCAACAAGAGCCCATAAATGTGCCAGGTGCTGCAGAGGCAGCAGGGTTGTGTCCTCTGCAGGTGATTGTTAAACTGTGTGAGAGGCAGGCTTTGCTGCTGTCAGTAAAACACTGCTCCTGACAAGGCAAACTCTGCCAGCACAGAATTGAACAGCTGCAGGTTCTTGGGCTTCAACAGAATTTCACTCTGGTCAGAGTGAGAATTGGATTCTGTGTCTTCTGAAGGGTCATTTTTCAGAAAAAAAATCAATGCTTTGTATTGAATGTACCTGCTTCTTGTATAAACTTGTGGTTATTTAGGGTAGGAGCTGCACGTTTTGGGTTTTGTAGTGGCATGAGCAGATATAATCAACCCATTTTCACCCCATCAAACCATAAAGGAACAGGTTTAACTTCACCTAATGCATATCAACAGAATGGTTGAACTCTGAGGAAAATCTTCATTTATAGCAGCACATGGATGCTGGAGCATATAGAGCCTGGGGAATGCTAGAAGAACACATTTGTGCATTCTTTTTTGTAATTAAATGAAGAAATCTGACCTGGATGTCACTCAGACAAAGGTGCACAGCAGCATTTGCACACAGATTTCATAATATAGTTACATTTGAAAAACCCCAAAAACAAAACTACAAACAACACAGCAGAGCAACAGCTCAAGAAGCACAGTGGGAATAAAGAACAAAAGCCAAGTGATTTGCCCAGGATAATACATGTTAACTGCAGTCAAAGTGGGGTCCTAAGGCTCAGGATAATCCTGTGGTCCAGGAATTATCCTTCCCTTTTCAACTTGCACATCCTACACAAGCCAAGAACACACATTTAAAAAGAAAACATCAAACTCCAAGCATTGTCTGTCCAAGTGATGCCTGACCAACAATGCAACTCTACTCTGTGGATCAACAGACATGAATTTTGTCATCAGCTACCACAGGGTTCCACTAAACATCCTCAAGGAACTTTTCTCCAACAGATTCATGAGAACAGTTACAATCTAATGGCTCATACAAATAATGAAACCTCTTCAGCTGCTGTGGTCCTGCTTCAGGGGGGAATTATTGCCACAGTCCAGCAGACCACTCCTGCAGGCCAATGCAGGGAATGCCATCCTCAGGAAAGAGCCAGAGAGCAGAAACCTGAACCAGGACACAGCACTCGAGGTCACACTGAGATCAAGTCACAGCAGGACCCTCCCCACACCCCAAGACTGAAATGGTGTCTTATTCCCCAAAACAGCTGTACCCACCACTAGGACACTGTGCAATAGATGTCTGTAGAGTATGCCCAGAAAAAGCAGCTCTTCTGCAACTCTTTATTCATTTTTTACTGTACTCAAGAAGAGGAAAATTCCAGCTTTCAAAAATGGCTTTTCAAAATTTATATACAGGAAAAAATTGTGCTGTAGCTACTCAAGAGCTAAACAAGCATCACACAGTAACCCCAATGGATGGGTTACATTTTTCTTTCACTAGTCAACACAGAAAAACCTATTTCAGTTCATCCTGGCTGTTCAATCCTTCATTCTGCAGCAAATGAATAAGACTGGGTTTTAATCAATTCCTATTTGGACCTAATAGTTTCAGACACACTGGAAAATTTAATATAGAGCAAAACACAGAAGTCAAGAGAAGCAACAACACCTCCAAAGAGTTATTTCCTCTCTGTCAACAGCTCTCAGCTGCTGACCCTTTTAAATATGAAAGGCTGAATGAGGAGGGATAACAATTCCTGGTGAGATGCTCTAGGTAACACAGACCTGACAGTCCAGAATAAAAAGGGTTGTTTGGCATGTTTGGGTTCTCCAAATTTGAAGTCTAAGTACACACAGGATTTCTGCTCTCTTTTAATACATAAAAATAACCATGGCACAAGAATAGCACTTAGGTTACTGGATTGGTAAATGATGCAGGCAAACACAAATGCAGGCAGGGGACACTGAGCACATGCTGGACAATAGATGGGAGCTTAGGGAAACTCAGCTCACACCACCGGAGGGATCTGCACACCCCTCAGAACTCAGCATAATGAGTGAAATGATAAATATAATTTATCACTGCTTTGTCTCCCCTACTGCCCAGCTCCTTTTGCCTCCCTCCTTCCCCATCCCATGTCCTACTCCTTCCACTTCCTTTTTACTCCAGCTACATGATTATCTGCAGGGGGTGGGTGTAATTCTGTGCTCACTCATGAACCCAAACAGAGCACAGTACTGTGTGTCTTTGGAGAAAAGGCAGAGCACAATTAAAGGAGTAACTCAGTAAGAATATTAAGAGATGCTGCTGTGGGTTTGCAAAGAGCACAATAATGCAAAATTTCCAAGTGCTCCCATATATATAAATGCAGCTGGGTCAGACTGTGGAAATCCCCCAGGTCTCAGAGAATACCCAGAGGATAAGGCAGAACTGGGGTTTCTTATGTTGCTTGTAAAGAACAATCCAAGTATTTTAGAGCCTTACCTGAAACATGTCAGTATCTCTGTCATGAATATATTCCACTATAACTGTCTGGGTTCTGGATAATGTGTAAGAGATGCTGTGGTGGCCTTTTGAGCTGATTGCCTGTGGATAAAAAAAAAAGTCTATTACACACAAAAATACTGTAATCAAATCATTTTTCTACATAAACACCTTTGCTGTGATCAGGAAAAGCAGTGTAGGGTAACATGTTATTACAAGGTTGGCTAAGCACATACAATAGGATTTCTTTTGTTTGTTTATAATGGAAAACCCCTAACTGCACTCGTTTGTTTCTAGTTCAGAAGCACCCAATGCTTTTTTTACATTTTTATATATATTTTTACATACAGAATATCATTTTTATATGGTATTTTGTGTGTAAAAAATATTGTATTTTTTCCAAACACCTTTTTTACTCTGAAATTATATTTAATTCCTAACCCTTGCAGCAACTTGTACCCTAGCAAAGACTTGGAGCTGAGGGAGCTTTGGCTTGTTTATTTTTGAAGTACGTGAACAATAGAACTGATTTCCAGTTAAAAGCCAGGACTTCAGGTGAAGTAAATTTCTGGTTATATCAGGAAGAGCCCAGCAATTTTATATAACAGGTGACAAAATCCAGACTTTCAGTGTGGTTTTCCTCATTAAAGGGTACTTCTTACTACCTGTCAAAGTAGACTGGTGTCTATAGATATGGGATTTAGCATCAAAGATTAAAAAGGATTTCAGTATTTAAAAGAAGACAAGAGGAGGACAGCTCCTGTTTTCTGCTTTATCTCACCCAGACTGAGGGAAACGAGCTGAGAAACTGAATCTCCTGGCTAACAGAGCAATAGATGGAAATATAAAGGTCCATATAACCACACACAATTCTGGAAGGTAATGACTGTTACTGCTCAGAAAACACTCTGCAGACACTTAAGCAATGAATTAATAAGTTAATTAAGGCTTTCTCCAGTTTTCAGTTAAGGGGATAATTTCCTTCAAGAAGTTCTCTCACTTGCTGCTTTCCTTTGTTCTGCTTTTCACCTTAAGAATTCACAGACAGGGATGGTTAAACTAAACAACTAAATATATTCCACTCATCTGCCTGCCATCCCTCACAAAAGCCTAAATTATGCCAAAGCTCCATCAATTATTGAACAAATCATTAAAAATCCTTCTGAATGCTGGAGGTATTAAAAACATCTATGTGCATACTAAAAGCCTACTAAGGGTTAGCAAGAGTATTTGACACAGAATTATTGAAAATACGTAATGGAAGAATTGTTTCTTGCAAACCTCATGCATTTACAACCAGACAGTGTTTTTACAATGTGCCCCTTGCTGGAAGTTCTAGCACCTGCTCTAATGGAAAATGCCCTTTCCAATGGCAGAGGGGTGGAACTGGGTCATCTTTAAGGTCCCTTCCCACCAAACCATTCTAGGATTAGGTAAGACAACCTTTCCCAGAACTTCTTTTCTGCAAGAAAGCTTTTAAACAAAATTTGAAGACAAAGTCCAGGCATTGTAACAGCTGAAAAGTGATGTAAACACACTTGGTAATCAGTAATAACCACATTCTGAATTTCCCAGATCATTTATATTGTTTTGTGAAAACCACTACAGTGGCAAGAACAAATGGCACCGAAATGCAGTTTGGATTAAGTCACTACACTCTGGGACCTGCCAGGACACTGAGCTCTGCTCTCTGAAGTTTTTCCTCTATGCCTGTGTGACAACTAAGAAAGGGATCTCAACCCTGGGCAGATCTCAGGTGCTCCTAGGACATAAAAGAAATAAAGGTGTTCTCAGGATATAAAGAAATAAAGAAAAAAAGAATGAAATGAAATAAAGAAATCAACAGGAGACCCTTACACCTTAAGTTTTAAGCTTAATATATCAATAATCAGTTCATACTCATATTACCAGCTATCACCATTTCAAAGATCAGAAAGCAACAGCTTTCCTACACAAGATTTCACTCATTTCCACAGATCTCTGCTGCAGCTGGAATCCAGCAGAGGACAGGGTGTAAATGTGACAGTCCTGACTGAGCAGTGGCCACCAGCACCCAGGCAAAACTCCCAGGCAGGGACGTGTGGCCCAAGCTCACCCTGTGCCAGACAAGCTCCTGCATCACTTGGAAGCTTTGCTGAGAACCCAAGCTGAAAGTTTTAAGGTCTGATGGAAAAAACACAGAGGGAAACACACAAAAAGGACTTCCTGAATTAGTGAGTCAGGTCGTGGCCTACGCCTCCAGAGCTCAAGGCTCAGATATATTAATAATACTGACCAGGGTCAGTGTGTCCTCTGAAATTCCAGGCTAGGACATAATCTTCTTTTCTCTGCGTGCTCCTTTCCCCTCCCAACTTTTCTTTCCCATCTACTCCCCCTCCTCTTTGTTTTCCATTATTTATACCCAGTTATTTTCAGTGAAGAAATGCTACATTTAATTTCCTGGAATTGTGTAATCATTTTTGGAAAAAGGCAAGAACGTTATGAGAAATGTTTCAACTTGTGTGCTTTCACAGCTTGCTCAGCACCAACAGTTACTCTCCAATTCAGACACTTTACAGATATTTTAAGTGCTGGTCTCAAAGCAATTGGCCACTTCCAAGTCAAAAAATAAAATTTAAAAAAGAGACAAGTAACAGTATTTTAGGAACTACACAAAACAGTGGAAGTTAAGACTCCTAATAAAACACTACTGCAAGTGGAATGCAGACAGAGGCAAAATCATGAAGGATTTTGACTGCTTGAGGAAATATTGAACCACATTACTACAAGTCCCAAAAGAGTCTGGAGATTGATTGCACAAATCTGAGGGTTTTTTTGCAACCAAAATAGTGAGTTTGCCTTTTTACTGCTTTTAGCATTGGAATTTTCCTGTCAGCAGGATTCCCTCCTCAAACCCCCTCGATGCTGTCACATAATTGCCCTGGTGTAGCAACTGCAGTGGGAGAAAAGCCCTGACTCCTACAAGAATTACAGCAGCTTCACAAGTTTGAACTGATAAATTCAGAGTTTCAGGCTGGATAACACCATGTCCACCTTCCAGGCAGGAAACAGGATAAGGAAAAACAAGAGCTTGGCACTAAACTCCACACCTCTGCCTCTTCACCTCCACTCCAAGGCTGCCAAGATCCACCAGAGCAACACTGGGTATTTTCAAAGCTTTTTTTTAGAATCCACTAAGCTTTTGAATGAGTGGAATTGTAGAATCATTTTAATTTTAACACACCTTTAAGATCATCAAATCCAACCATAAATCCCAGGATTGTGGTTTCACCTGAGTAGTGAGGGAAGGGAAATCTTCCTTCAGGCACTCCCAGCATTTTGGACTCCTTTACTTGAGCAGTTTGTTCTTATTTTTCAGGTTCTTAAAAGTTTAATGAAAATTATAAATTGAACAGGAAAAAAAAAACACCCTGAATTAGTTTCCAACAGATACAAATGCTGGAAAACCTCACTAACATCCATAGCCTGAGCCTACCAAGCCAATCCAGGCTGGACACAGAAAATTCCAGCCCTTGTCCAGCAGGAATGCTGGGGAAACACAGGCTGGGTGAATCCAGCTGTCCATACAACATTTGGTTTTCTACATTTAACTGGCTCGAGGTTCTGAGTTCAAGTAGCTCCCTTTGGAGAAAACAGAGAGCAAAGTGAAGGTGAACTGACAAAAACCCTGTGGAGGAACAGGGGGAACAAACAGCAGCAAGAGATTTTTCCAGAATGATTCCACTGCTAGTGACTATGCCCATAGTGGGGCTGAGGGATTTTAGGAAGTCCAAATGCCAAACAAAAGCAGGAGGGGAACCCTGAGTGCCACATTCCACGTGGCATCAAGGGACAGATTTGCCCAGCACTTTTCCAAGACAGGGCTCATGTTTGCACAGCAATCCATCCAACTCCATGGGGCTTCCCACATGGAGGCTCCAAGCCTCACTGCTGAGCAGGAAGATTCCTCCCTATTGCTCCAGGCAAACCCCACAGCTCCCCCCACTACCTCAAGATTTGTGTTCTGGTGATTTTGGACCAAAACTGCCCAATTTTAACAGAGACCGAAAGGACCCATGACCGCACAACAACATGGCCCAAGCAAATGCTCCCTTTTTTTTTTATTTTTCGTTTTTCAACTTTGCTAGTAGCTCAAGTTTCCAGTTATATCCTTCCTGCTGGCTGGAATTCCACTTGGCCTTGGTTTTTCCCCTGCCTCCTTACACACACTTTTTCATTCTTGCTCCTTTCTCTCCGTTTTGAGAACAAAACCTCGTTCCAGCACTTTGCCCTCACAATCAAAGCAGCAGCTAAAGGCTATGACTTACAAATCTGTCAGGTCTCAGAGGAGCCAAGATCAAATAGAGATCAAACAGAGTCTGCTTTCCCAGCAGCAACACTGCAACTCTGGCAGCCCCTGGAATATCTCAGTCCATCTGAATTCTGTGCTCTGCACTCACTCCCCTGGAAAGGGGATGCTATCAGTTTTATCAGCATTTCAAGAAGGGAGAAAATCAAATTGCCTCACCCCATGTAAAGGCACCTCATAGATAAAGGGAATAAGAATATATAAAGGTTATATTTAAAACCAGTGTTTCTTAGTGCTCTTTTTCAGCCAAGATACAGAAAAAGGAGGGAACAAAACTAGAATTTAACAAATCTTCAACAGATTATCCCCAAGAGCAGAAATAGCTCTTTAGTCAGAATTTCCACCTTTTTCTCCTACACTGCATTTCTATCTGTGCTCAGCCAGATGTTCCCTGCCTGGGATCATGTCCTGGTGTGCCACAGCAAAGCCCTGCACACTTTGTGACAGTGCTGCTCATTCCCCTGAGCCACCTCCAGCCCCAGAGTTCAAGAACAGGTCAGGAGCTCACTGCACGATTACATCAACTTAACACTGTTAAGTCAAACCTTCCGTTGTCAGGAGCCTGTCAATGAACTACAGAAGCAGATCCCAAAATTCTCAGAGCCTTTACTTGCAAAGCTTGCAGGGAAACAAGTCTAATCCACTTCTAGAAATAGAGATTTCATTGCTTCCTCCTGGCTTGCACACCATGCTCCCAAGGAATGAAAAAAAAATAAAAAATCCTCTGCATTTGGAAATTTGAAATGAATTCCCT